AAACGACCAATCATAGAACATTTCACTGAACTCATATTAGAGTGTTGAAAACATGATGGAGAAGATCGTTTTAATTGTAATTGAATTTCCAGAGTTGTATGATCCATCAAAAACCTCATACAGAGATATAAATAAAAAATTCAGAGCTTTTTCCGGGTAAAAATAAAAATACGTGCAAAATGTCATAGTTAACTGCGTCTAACATGAATATGACTACGCTACATAACAAACAATACAAACACAAAATGTGCGTTGCGGGTTTATTTAGTTTTTAGTAAATACAAATAATACACTGATGACAGTAAATATGGCAACGTCTGCCTCGAGACCAAGACGCGAGCAATGCCTCGACTGCACATTTTTAATGGCATCCCGGATCGTGTTTTGTTTTGTAAACAAGGCACAGTGTCATGGAGAGTTCACAAAGAGTTCGTGTTGAGAGATGAAGTGGTACTAGATCTGACTGCAGCTGCATTACACTGTAAGTAAATGATTTCATATTGCTTTGTCTGGACCATTTTATTTTGATTATGTTGTCAAAACACTCAAAACATGCAATAGCGAGGGGGAGTTTATACTGTTTCCTATGCAGTGACGTTAGCCAATCATAACAGTGGCCGATTCCTGACTGAAGTCCTAAAGGACCCACCCCTTAAAAACAGCCTGTTTCTGAGAGAGGTTCAGGTTCAGGTTAATCATTTTTCCACATATTTTATTGTTTGTTTGTTTTTTTGTGCAAAAAAACTTAAAAGTAAACCTCAAGGAATACATTAAAATAATACAAAAATCCATGTCATGACCTCTTTAAGTCGGTTCTTTTCAGTGAATATGTCAGATGAGTAAGCAAATAGGTCTGAATCGGTTTGTGATTCACTTTGAATGTTAATTAGTTTGTGGTCCAGTCCTGTTCATGATTCTGCCCGACTTGGCTTGTAATTTAGCCTGAAACAGTTGGCAATTCACTTTGAATCCATTCGTGACTTAGACCAAATTATTGTGAATTTGTGGTTCAGCCCTAACTGTTTCATGGTTCCGTCTGAGACTACCTGTGATTCCAGCTGAATCAGTTTGTAGTTCATTCTGAATCATTCATGATTCAGTCCATACCAGTTTGCGATTCAGCCTGAATTTCTTGTTGTTCAGCCCAAATCACGTTGCTATTCAACCCGAATCAGTTCAAGATTCCAAATCAGATCGCAATTCAGACTGAATCGGTTCGTGATTCAGTCAGATTTGGATCCTGGTTATTTCTGAAATTGTTGGCAGTTTAAATCAATTCATGGCTGAATCTGAATCATTTGGACAGTTCACCCACTGACTCCCTCTGTAAAACTGCTATTTAGAATCAAATCTACTGGTGTCTGATTTATGAATGAATAATTCATTTGCGATTGTTCTTTAAATAAATTTGTTAAACATGTAACCAGGTAGGCCTGATTCAGTTTTAAAATGAATTTGATGTTGATTAATTTAATCATTGTGATTCAGTCCAAAAGGTGTTTGTGTATCAGTCCGAATCAGTTTGCAATTTAGCCTAAATCAGCGTGTGAATCAGTCGGAATTGGTTTGAGATCTAGTCAGAATTAGTTTATGCTTCAGTCTGAACAATTAGCTGTTCAGTCTAAATCAGTTCATGATTCAGTCTGAATCAATTGAACAGTTAATTCACAAACTTTTGCAAGTTTAGCGCCTGCATGTGAACGACTCTGTACTGCAGGTAAAAGACATTTTCTGACCAAAAGAATGTCACAACCAAACACAAAAACATATATATCAAAACATGGCAAAAACACCCTAAGAGGCTTTATGCACTGCCCACTGGAGAGGTTTTTGGAGCCTTGTTCTGTAATGAGTCCAAAAAGCAGACAGGACATTATAATTTTGGATGTTTGAGACTTGTGTTTGGTGGCTGTTGATGAGCCCACAGGTCCAGACCTTTAGGCTCATCAAGGAAGAAAACATCATTAGCTTCATTCCGCAATAAAGAATCACTTGGATTTCCACATTAGGGTCATTTGCCACGGGGACAATTTGCTCCGGCAATACGAGAGGAAAAGAGAGCGAGAACAGAAAGAAACAAAGACTACTGTAAGTGCATGTAGGGCTGAAGTGACCTTATGAGAATTCAATCATGGTCGTCGTGCCCAGAACTATATTCTTCAATTAAACCACAGCAGCTCCTAGCTTCTCATTTCCTGTCTACATCCACTTCCTCTTCTCCATCCCTCTATTGCTTCCCTTACTTTTGACTGAAATGAGCTTTTGAGCCCCTGAAGATGTTGTTAAGCCAATTAAAAGATACAGAAATTAGCACAACTACAGATAACACGTACAAATACTGTGTAAAATAGTCCATTTTTATTGATATTAAACCATTTTTATCAATGCATTTCACTATTAAGTAAATATTTAAAAAATTAAAAAAATCTTGCCAATCACAAATTATAATAATATAATATAATATAATATAATATTTTTTTATTTATTTAATGTCATGTCAGCATCTTAGGCTATTTTTCATGGCAAAAACAATAAAAAAAAATACAAGTATAACAAATACAATAAAAACCAGCAAACAAACAAACAAACAAAAGTTATATTACACAAGATTTTTTACATTAATATATGATAAATTCTACAATTTTTCTGGCAAAATTATACTAAACTCTTTAAGTGAGTTTATAATATAATATAATATAATATAATATAATGTTTAAAAAAAAGTTTATTTTTTGGGATAGACATTTGGTAGCTCATTGGTAGTATATGTAATGATATAAATTTGTATGCATAATAATAATAATAACTGAAGTTCTTGCATCCTTAGAGACTAAGTATTTTTCAAATTTAGAAATGTTTAGTTATAAAACGCAAGATGTGAAACAGACAGGTGAGCTAGTTAGTGTCTGGAGATCCTGGTTTATGCACAGCAGAGACGGCAAATGCTTTGACATTTCCAGATCCAAATGGGACACGATTCATGGATATTCTTTTTCTCTCCTGGTTTCTTTTCCTTTGGCCATGTCAACAGTTAGTAGGAAACTAGACATGATATTTATAGTTCTACTGCCGACTTCAGGAGATCATCTCACTGTCTTTCTCTCTCTCTCTGTTTCTCTTGCTCACTCGCTCTACTCTTGGGCATTTCAACTCTCAAAAGAGAGAGACGATATACAAACAAATGTGTGTGTGTGAACTCACCCTCAGGATGTTTTGAAAAATCATGCCATGCAATATTCAATTGAGTGAGTAAACCTCTGTAGGGATGCATCCAATCCATATCTTTCAGCATTAATAACCAACAAAATGCAGTTCAATAGCATTTCTTGACTCATCGCAAACCACACAGGTGCTTTTTGCAGGTGTTTTGCCAGGTGTGAACAAATGCATTTGATTTAAGCAATTAAAAATAACACAAAATGGGCGATTCTTGGCCAGAATAATTTGCAAAGTGGACTAGACCTGCCAATAGTCAAAAGATCAGCTCTGTGAGACTAACAGGGACATGACAATGCAATAATTTACTACATTTGGAAAGTAATTCTGTCTGAGTTGCAAACTGATGCTTTTTGGGAGTTTTTTCTCTCTTTTTCTTTTCCTGAATGAAACCCAAATAGGATGTCTGAAGAGATATTGGTTATTTTCTTATTTCAGACATCACATCCCATCAGATAGAACCACTGAAGCTTAACAAGACTTCTTTAAAGCCCGTTCACACCAAGGACGATAACTATAAAGATAACGATAAAGATATAGTTTTAAAAATCGTTCTCAATGTTAAAGAATAGCAGAGTTCACACCACAGCTATAACGATAAAGGTACAGAGAAACGATATCGTTGGAATCACTTCCAGAACGATTTTTTTCAGCTGATGAAGGATAAAATCATTGACACCCAATCAGAATCCATCCTGCTATCACGAGCTGGAGAATTTAAAGCGGCAGACGAGCGTGCGCTTAGAATAAACTAAAGATATCGTCCGCTGGTGTGGACGCTAATATAGTTATCTTTATAGTTATTGTTCTTGGTGTGAACAGGGCTTTACATAAAACATAACAGTAAAATACAAAATCATTCCTCTCATAAATTACACATTTTTGAACATTTTACCGCAGATGTATTTCTTCCACTTTGCGAAAAATTTGGGTGGGTTTATTTATTGATTAGTGACGTTTACGAAGTCTAGCATCGCTATTGCTATTACTTTAACTATTAAACTCCAGAGTGTGACTCGTTTTACAATCTTCACCTGCCAGACAATAAATAAGACAGAAAACTCCCACAGATGTACACTGCAGGAGGATCCCAAGTCATATTTAGACAACAGAATATCAAAAAACACAAAACACAACGCAACCACCCAGAAAACCCTGGCAAACACATGCTTAAACCCACATTATTCTTAATTATTCTTGATCCAATTGCGTTTTTCCAAATAAGGACGTTCACAAATGTCCCTATAGTGAGATTTTGTCAAATTTAGTTCTTTCTGGGGACAAATCCCTCACTAAAGTACTGCTAAGTAAATCCACACACATACACACACGGCTCAGTCAAAGGACACCTCCACAACAACTTCAAAGCAAAAACAGTGTGTGTGTGTCCGTGCCTGTAGAGGCCACCTGCTCAGTCACCGATGCTGAAAGCAGTCTGGGATTAGAGGAGACACACACACACACACAAACATAGAGTCCAAAGACAACGCTTTTCATGTTCGCATGTGTGTGGAATACCACTAAGAGCACTGCACGCTCTTATTTTCCATCCTCAAAGACGTCTTTATTCAAAGAGAGAGCACATCAAAACAGTGGAGTCATGGGGAAATCTCAGATGGGCTCGAGTGATCAGACTAATGCACAGACTCTATTACGAACTCGCAACAATCAGCGCTGCCTTTGAACCTCCGTCCCATTACAGGATTTGCGTCGTATCAAAAACGCTGCGGCATTTCCCGCTCGATAAAGAGCGGCACGACGTTTAGACTGTGTGTTGCGTGTACCTTTAGTGCTGAGGTTTTTAGATGTCAGCTCCAGTGTATTTAGCGTCTCCGTGCCGATATTCTCCAGGGTGAGAGTCAGCTGCTGCGTCTCTCCGTTAAACAGCTGCAGGGACACGCTGGTGGACAGGTCTTCACTGGACAGATGAGCCGACCTGGACCAAGAGAAAAAATACACAGCATAAAACCATTCAATGTTCATTAGGGGTGTAAATAATAGCTTTGACGACAATTCAGCTGTGTTTTATTAAGAAATGTGATGCATAATGACATTCTGTCACAATTTGATGTGATTTTTAAAATGTTGGCATGATTCTAAATGCATAAATGTATAAACTTCGAAAGACATGCTGGGGACACAAACATAAACGCAGGGACAATTTAAAACATACTGTGAAAATTGACCAAAAAAAAAAAAAGTTTCACTTTAAAAAGTTCAAAAAGTTATCATGGACTTTTGATTGCTTTGGATAATAATAATAACGCAATAATTTCAGAGTGTACCTGTGGAGAAAAGTGTCTGCTAAATAAATAATTGCAAAACACAGGGTTATTATTATAGTAATTATAATCAATTATTAATTTGCATATTCATTACACTGAAATCGCATTCTCAGATTGAAGCCTTTATATCCCTAATGTGTAAATAAATAAATATGCAAATTGCTAAGTAAATGAATAAACAAATAAGTAAATAAAGTAAATAAATGATTTGGGCAGCTAGTCAAAGAAGTATTGTGGAAGTATAAAAACTAGTAAAACTTATTTTTCAAGCTTACATCTCAATAACATATCAATCACCAATAAAATCTTAAATAATAATAATTTTGCTTCTTAAATCACACTAAACATATTTTCATGTTGATCCGGCTAATGCACATCCTACAGGACTATCATAAAGACCTGCTGATGGCGATGTCAATAAGGTCAATGGCTCTTTTAATTGAAAGGTGGAACCTTCTTTTCTACAGCCGCTTTTCAATTAAAAGAGTCAATTGCCTTATTAGGGCTTCGCCTTAGTGATTTCTCGTGTGGCTTGTCTTCTTATATCACCTCTAGTTTGGCAATGCCATCTAGTTGATCGAGAGCGAAAGCAAGCTGCAAACTTCAGATTTATCATTATAACAGTCTTCAAAATTAGGGAACACGCTAGGGCTTGAGAAAAACCCTTAAAATAAACAGTCCATTTAAAAAAAAGTGTGCTGCCAATGTTCTATTCCATCAATTTCCCCTCAACCGCTGTGTTTGTTCCACTCAGGGAGCCTAAACAACCTTTAGTCAATTGCTTAAAAAGTTTGAATCCATTTTTCATGTCTTCGTACTGTGCACTTTTTGTCTAAGAGCATCTAGACTGATGTTTGGCTCTAAAAACCTTTAAGAAGCTCAGAAGAAAGTGAAAGAATGAAAAATAAGTGCGGACAGTCAAGCCGAAAAGAGTACTTCATGGTTGTTTTCTGAAATATCAATTCACAACACAACATTTGCATAAATCGACTAATTTGTCTGTCATAAAAAAAGACAAAGTTTCCTTCAGGAAAAATTGAAGCCGAAAAGAGTACTTCATGGTTGTTTTCTGAAATATCAATTCACAACACAACATTTGCATAAATCGACTAATTTGTCTGTCATAAAAAAAGACTAAAAGTTTCCTTCAGGAAAAATTTAACAGTAAAAAGTCAAAAACTTTAGTTTTCAAGAGGGTAAACACAATGCATATGAACATTCAAGAGAGAATAAACTATGAAAAAGGCAACTGACAACTTACATTTCTACCACTACCACATTTAGAGTTACACATTCTCCCATTCATTTTTATGAGTGCTTCGTCTTCTCCCTCTTATTATGTCTCTGACCCAACCTTTATTCCAGCAGAGCCACACTAAACAAACCAATTTCATTTCATTTCATTCTGACTGTCATTTCAGACTGCCTCATTCATGTTGAAGAATAATATTTTTAATGTACTTGAGAATGAATATGTTTACAGCAGCCTCTGCAGAGCTAAATATGATTAAAATGACTGACAATCCTGTCAAATGGAATATAAGGTTGTGAATGTATATGTGTGTGTGTGTGTGTGTGTGTGTGTAGGCCTATAAGGAATTACTGTAATTAGCTATTGCTTTGGGATCATCCAGCGCCTTCTGCCAAAATCTTCTCAAACAAACCATATTAAAGAAAAAAACTAAAAGAGTTGGGGGGGGTAGAAAGATAGTATTTTGCTGTAATGAATGTATAAAAGTGTGCAAAATGGTAAAAAAATGAAAATTAAAAAAAGAGAGAAATTTGTTTTGTATTGTCGCTGAATACAGACAGAGAGATTATGAAGGGAAGAAACATATAAAGATAAATGGGAGAAACTGTAACTCAATTAATTATTAAGTCAATTAATTATTAAGTAAATAATTAATTAATTATTAACTCAATTAATTATCAATTAAGTGTATTTTTATTTTTTATTTTTTTTTGTGAGGAACACACTGAAATTTCGACTCTTAAACCAAATATGGTAAAATTGGTACACCTGTATTACCTAGACATGCTTTCACAACAAAGAAAAAAAGTGTTGTGGCACATTCTGGTCAGATGTTAGTAAATCATGTTGATGTGTTGAACTCCACCTGTGGTTCCTCTGCTAGAACACCTGTGTGAACTTGTGGCAAACTGACAATACTATAATACTAACAATACGACAATACAATGCTTTTGTAACTTTAATAAAGATTCAGCTTTAATTTATACAGTCAAATATCCAATGCTGTTTTACGTTTCATTACTTTATTCAATTTCTGTACCTGAAAACTGTTTGACCTTCCTAAAAAAAACCTGAAAATCACTGTTTATTTTAATTGTAGCTTTACTCTATTGTATTTATTTGTGACCCTGGACCACAAAACCAGTCATAAGAGTAAATTTTGAGATGTATACATCATCTGAAAGCTGAATAAATAAGCTTTCCATTGATGTATGGTTTGTTAGGATAGGACAATATTGAAAGCAAAAGCATGTAATTCCCAGTCGTGTATTGGGAATGCAGTCTTCCTGAATTTTGGACAACAGAATAATCTAGTTCTTGTGCCAGCAAACTTTATTCAAGTAATACAAAACCTTTGTACTTTGTAACGAACAGTTTCTCTTTTAAAAGGCGTTCTTATAAAGCGATTCTTCTGGTACAATTAATGTGACATTTTATGTCGTATTAACTAAAAACACGATCCAAAGAGTCCAGCATTTTAGTGGTTACTCTTAAAGGAATGTTCTGGGGTGAATATAAATTAAGCTCTCTCAACTGTATTTGTGACCCTGGACCACAAAACCAGTCACAAGGGTAAACTTTTTTTAAATTGAGATTTATAAATCATCTGAAAGCTGAAAGCTTTCTATTGATGTATGGTTTGTTAGAATAGGACAATATTTGGCCGAGATGCAACCATTTGAAAGTCTGGAATCTGAGGGTGCAAAAAAATCTAAATATTGAGAAAATCGCCTTTAAAGTTGTCCAAATGAAGTCTTTAGTAATGCATATTAATAATCAAAAATTAAGTTTTGATATATTTACGGTAGGAAATTTACAAAATATATTCATGGAACATGATCTTTACTTAATATCCTAATAATTTTTGGCATAAAAGAAAAATCGATAATTTTGACCCATACAATGTATTTTTGGCTATTGCTACAAATATACCCCAGCGACTTAAGACTGATTTTGTGCTCCAGGGTCACATTTGTGCTGTTGCTTGTAGTTAGATAGATTATTCTTATTTTCTTTATTTTTATTTGATAGTATAGTTTTTTTCCCTAAACATAGCACATACCGAACCGTACCGAAACCTTGACTCTAAAACCGTGATACAAACCGAACCGTGAGTAAGTTGAACCGTTCCGCACCTAATTTTTATGCTATATATATTTTTAATTATATAATTTTTATTATGATTATTACTGTCATATGACATACACAACACAATGGTAGCATAGTCAAACAATCACCATATTATCCTTGCTTTTATGTGTGCCAATACATTTTAATTTCTAGGTTTTTTTTTCCATAATTTTTTTTTTACTTTTCTTTAATCAATTATATTTTATTACATTTAGATCTGCAAAGCAAAACTTTGTTACCTAAAATTTTAATCTCCAAAAAAAATCTAATATGCCTTCACTGGTTCATCGGTTCTAAAACATAATAGAAAATTACAGAGAATATTAATGAAATCAAAATCATTTACCTGTTACTTAATATATAAATAATAAATTAAAAAATTATTAGCACACATAAAAGCATATTATTTTAATCATAATAATAATAATTTTAGTTAAAATTCTTTAAACTATTACAATTAACAATGTTATTATTAACATTAACATATTATTATTATGTAATTATATTATTTAATATGAATTTTTATTTAAATTCTATTTTAAATACATTTTTTATTTTAGTACATACACGTTTATTTATTTTAAATAAAATAAATACACTAAAATGTATTTAAAAAAAATATTATTTCATGGTAAGTATACTAACAAATAGATTTACATATTTGCATACTTTATGTACATATTCTAAACTGGTATACTTAAAGTCTGTTAAATTGGAACAACTCATTTTGTACTTAATGCACTTTAATTGTGAGGAAGTAGTGCTGCAGTCCAACTAAAGGTATACTGAAGTATATTTGATTGTGCTAAAGTGGAACTATTGCAAGTATACTTTAGGTACACTTTAAATATCTCGCATTTAAAGACCAATATTATTTTAAACGCATACAATCCTCATCACTAGTGGCATTAAAACACATTTTAGGCTTAATATTAGAACATGTGCATTGTGCACACGTACGTAGTACGCCAAATAAAGTTTCATTTTAATTTTATATCATTAAGTCTCGAACGATATGCCAGTAAACAGATTTGAACTATACTTGGTATGAAATAAATATATTACATTTTACTAGGGTATGAGTACTATTGTCACATGGCTTAAAACACTTATTAAAACAATTACCTTAATAATCTTTTATGTGCTTTGAAGAACCAACAAAGTTTGTGGAAGTTTACTGCAAAACATTGCTACCTGTTAGGCTGATAAAAACCTCTGCAATCCTGACTCCCAAAACCTGCCAACAGCAGCCAGCCAATCACAACAGATTCTCTGCCAGCACTTTATTTTTGTGTGCAATATGCATCAGGTCTCTCTCTCTTTCTGTCTCTCTCTCTCTCTCTCTCTCTCTCTCTCTCTCTCTCTCTCGAATTGGCGATATTTGAGAAAAGGGTTTAGCGATTTCTAATTATTGGGGGGACTAGCCCCCCTCAATGTCTACGGTGGTTATCGCCCTGATCAGACATGAAAATATGTTGTGGCACTATCGTGCAGTCTGTAATGATATGACGTTAGTTAGCAAATATTAGCGATTTTTTTGCAAACATTTCTTTGAGTAACATGACCGTAAATATGAACTCACAATTGAATGTAACATAAAACTGATGTTTTATGTTGAAAAAACTGATTGAAAAAACTGAAAAAACAAAAAAATGATTACTTTTCGTTAAAATCTTTATTAATGCCAAAAATGCTTACATTTATGTGTCTTTTTGTTCGCTCGGGCAGCCATGTTGCCGCTGAAGCCGGTTTACGCTGAGATAATTCATACCCCTTCGTTTGAAGTGTGGTCCCGAAAAATCTTCGTTTGAAGGGCTGTCTGGCCCTTCCCCTACCCCTCCAACCAAAAGAGAATTGAGACACCCCTACCCCTTCACGTGAACGCGCGAAACAGAGGGGGAGGGGAAAGGGGAAGGGCTAAGGGGTAGAATTTGGGATTGGGCCTAAATGTTCAGCTGTTTCTCGTTTTATAAAAGAATATTCACTGGTCTATTGTTTTTTTAGCACTGATGCACTGATGTAGTCAAACTGAACCCCATTTACCTACAATTTAATATTAGCACCCTATTTAATTAATGTACTCAGTATTTACTCTATATATGCACATTATACTATAAGAAAAAAAAACTGAATGCATATTCATGAGTCCCGCTGAATAATCAGTTTCAGTTCAGATTTCAGAAGTTAAATTGCAGTTTTATGTTGTGTTTAAGGTGTTGTAAAGCTCACCGTTGATTGTGATGTTGCCTGCGGTGCGAGGAACTCCAACCAGAGTAACCGGATAGAGGCCAGACTCCGCTGGCAGAGACAGAGCAGCAGGAAGAGACTCAAAATCTACACCTGATGTCAACAGACCCTGACAAACACAATCAGAGTATACAGCGGTCAGTATATAGTAGAATTATTTCTTTTATCCATAATGGCAGCATGAATGCTCTGCTTAACATCTCCTTTTGTGTTCCATGTAAGAAAGAACACAAGGATGAGTAATTAATGACAGAATTTATCATAATTTGATTTGTTTTCAGTTTAATACCAATGAAATAATAATAATAACAATTATTATTATTATTTACTAAATGGTTTTATTTATTAGTATTAAACTAAAAATGTTAAAATAAATAAATAAAAAATAAAGAAAGAAAAAATAGATATATAAATATAAAAACAAATAAAAAATAAAGTAAAAAAAAAAACATTTAAAAACACATTTAAATTTTAAATCAATTTAAAAATTAAAAATCAATTTAAAATAAATCAATTTAAAAATCATAATAATTATTATTTATTGAATTGTTTTATTTATTGGTATTAAACTGAAATTTTTTTAAATAAATAAATTGATAGATAAATATAAAAATAAATAAAAATAAAGTTTAAAAAGCATTTTAAAATACATTTAAAATAAATACAATTATATTTACATTTGCATTAAATAAAATTGATAAATTAATAAAAAATCAATTTCAAAATCAATAAAAAAAATTTATTTATATTATAAATCTTAACACTGTGGGGGGGAAGAGCCTGTATTGTATTATTAGCTCAATAAATCGTGTCAATAATAATGTATTGCTGCTCAGCACCTGTGGAATTTAGTGTTCAAATTGTTCTCTTTTTCTTGTTTTTCTCCTTTTCTCACTTATGGTGTTTTCTCACCAAAGGAGAAAAAATGCAATTAAAAAACAGATTAAATGTAAAACAAATGCAGCCACCGACAGATTTTCAAGGACAGAATCAGAATGTCACGCGCATGTGGATGTTATTAAAAGATAAAACACACGCACACAAAACAAATCATTCAATGTCCTCGGAGCAAAAAGGTGACGATTAACATAAACGGCACGTGACATTTTCACAATCCAGCACTTCAGTTAACACATTTAAAAAAAACGCATATATTTAGCAGATACAGCAAAATAGCAAATCTCTAAAATAACAAGCATATATAATAACAACCTAGCAGCGAATATGTTGTTTGGCATTTTAATTTTCCAATTTCAACTTCCTAATTCAGGCTTTTTTTTACAGAATACATGAAAAGTAAACGATAACAACAAGAGAATAAAGAGATGCAGAAACAAAGCAGAATGAGAAGACAGTAATAGACCAATGAAAAAACAACTGGTGACAGACCATGGTTTGAGATTTTTTTGGTTTTCTTTATCTTCTCATTTCTTTTTTTTTACTCCAAACATCACATAATCAATCATCCTGATATCAATCTGATATGGAGGAGATGAAATCACTCCCAGCGTGCTCTCCCCATCACCCATGGAGAAAATTGCTCTTGTTCACAGCACTACAGAGAAAGGAAACAGCGTTAGCAGAATCACAGCGGCAGATGAGAGCGAGAGACAGAGACAGATTGAAAACGAGACGCTTACACCTTCCTCGTGGAGGTGAGGGCCGATTATTACCGTGCCCTGAGAAGTCGAGCTGCTCTCCGCGGAGAGTTTTCCCGCTTTCTATTCATACTCCAGAAATCATTCAGACTCCACCAAATGTGCTTTACGGGATTTTTATCATATTAGCCTGAATGAAACCATTAAACTCTGGACTCAACAGGAAAGAATCAAGAATTTTCCATTTCTCCTGATATCCGATATACTCGGTGTCCAATGTCTCTGTGACATGAAACTTTCATATCTAAAATATATTGTAGAAACTTAATTTTCTGTAAAGCTGCTTTGCAATGACTTGTATCGTGAAAAGCGCTATAAGAAAACGAATGAGTAATATATTAAATTCATATGGTAATTAGGATCAATTTTGAACCTGAAAAAAATATTTACAATTTTAAATGCTTTTTCCATTTCTAAATAGCTACTAAAATACAATAAATAAAATAAAATGTAAATGATGAATAAGACTATACACACACACACACACACACACTAGGGCTGGGACGATAAATCGATGCAGTATCGATTCATGGATCGATTCTGAGATTTCCCGAAAGCATCGCATTTCCTCTGGAATTGATTCTGAGCTTAGTTTTGAACAGCAGATGGCCCTGCATGCTTTAGAAACAGCCGTACTCTGCTTGTTTCCAAATCCTTACACACACTTGAACCTAAAATAATCATTCATAAAATTCGAAAAGGTTGAAGCGAATCACAAGGGTGTTCACAGTGGGCTGTGTTTACATTAATCTCGCGTCATAAAAGCGTTCTGAGCCGAGGTGAAATTACAGACTCAGCTGAATGCACACGCGCTCTTCTTCGTGAGCATTTGAGTGTGCGGATAAAAACTAGATTAGAGCGCCATCTTCTGTTAAAGTCTGAGCTCAGAGTCGATTCCAGAGGAATCGCGATGCATTCGGAAAATCTCAGAATTGATCCATGAATTGATTCTGCATCGATTTATTGTCCCAGCCCTAACACACACACAAATAAACATGAGGTGTAAACATTAGCAAACGACACTTTTAGCCAATATTTAAAAAATGAAGCCTTTGGCTTTGTTGACATGTTTTTGGATGGGGAGGTTTTGCAGAGATGGTGTAAGGCTGAAGGGATGATGGCCATCTAATCCAGTGTCTGTCAATAATCCAGTCTGACTGAAGTTAGTAAAACGTCTGCAATAACTTACAGCAACTTTATCAACTCCACTATCCAGACAGACAGTAGAAACATGAACTCAAAGATCTCTCATTCAGACCCTGAACAACTGAGCAGCTTTGCAATAAAGACACATAGTAATGCAATTAAGGATGTATTGTTTAATGTAGTCTAAAATACTAACCTCTAAAATACTTTACAGGTACTGAGTAAAATCTCATGTTATGTGGAGGGTCTCAGTATTGTATAAGCCATATTTTGAAATACCTCATTTGCATTTCCTTTTTGAAAAGGTTAATTAGCTCGACAGCTAATGCTAACAATCTGTTCTTTTCTTTTCTGGTCTGGATGTCTAACGGCAGACTCTCATCGGCTGCTACAAAGACCCTGTGGAAATATTTGCTCTTCGTGTCTTTTTTCCCTGTTCCACCAGACAAAAATTATACAAGCCATTTTCAAAAGCACCGTAACATAATCATAGGCACTTAATTAAACCAAGAGTGAATGAAATTAATACCTAGAAGTGAAATATTTTCAAAGCAGTTTCATGAACGGACATTAGAAAATGAGAGATGCATCTGAAGGCATTAATTAAATTTTTATTTTATATATATTAAATATGTTTAAGTAATACATATATCTAAATATTTTTATAATAAATAATTTATATATATATATATATATAAAATGTTTAAATATAATTAATTATATTAATAATATTAAAACATAATACTGATAATACAATATAATATAATACAAATACTGCTAATTATTAAATATTAAAAATACATCTTTAAAATCAATATAATTTAAATAAATGTATTTTTTATTTATTTTATATTATTTTTTGTTATTATTTATTATATATAAAGAAAACTTATAGGCCTAGTAGCCATGAAGATGCTGAACGAACAGACAACATTGAGATATTTTGGATGTATAGTGTGCTTGACATGAGGTCAGCAGTAAGGTCACACTGGTTCATCCTGGCACCATCCGCGGTGCCATCTGACACAGGTTATGGAGTTTTATAGGGTCTCATGCTGATCCCATCTGGGGCAGATCTGGGCATGTCTGGAGAACACAACTCACCTATGCAATCATTTTTCCTTTAACACAAATACACATCTACAGTTAAGTCCATCCCTGGTGAGAAAGGACAAAAACCCCTTCTGGATTGGAGTTTAACCTCTAGCTGGAGCGCACACCTGTGCCCTGAGTCTGCGGGTGTGATGCTCTAATGGTTATGGATCAGAGCTGCTAACATAAAGACAGTAGATTCAGTCCAACCGTCACTAAAATCACAGACCTGCTCCATCACTATCCTACCCTTGAGAAAAGAACTTCACCCCTGAATTGCTCCTAAAATAGTTTTTTGGATGAAAAGTGGGTATTCAGCTCCTTTGGAGAATACAAATATAGCTCTGTTCTAAAACTCAGCAAGCTGCCTACCTAGAGAGCGCTTTAAGGCATCACTGGTCTGCTATAGATGTGAAATGTTAAGAATGTATTGCCGTGAGTTTTTTTATATTTTTGAAAATGATATGAAATGACTGAAAAAAAATATAATATTTCATAAAAAATAACTACAACAAAGCAAAATATAAACATTACAAAATAAAATAAAACACAAAATACAAAAATGAAAAATACAAATATAAATCGAGTAAAAGGAAAATATAAAATACAAAAATTAAAAACAATATTACAATTGCAAATAAAGGAAATAATAAAAAAAATAATATAAATAATATAAAATTGTTTTTATTTTTAATTTTATAAAAATATTTGTAATACAAAAAATTTAATCTGATGCACCTCAATGGAAAGAAACGTTGATAAAATTCTAAGATAGAATAGAATAGAATACTAAGGCACCTCAATAATACCAAGAAGAGAAACATATAAATAATAATAAAAATGAGAAACATATAAATAATAATAAAAATGAACAAGATTAAAATAAAAATAAAATAAAAATGTAAAATAAAAATTACAAAAATAAAATAAAATACATATAAAATAGAACTGATTTTATTTTTAATTTAATACAAATATTTGAAATCAATACAAGGCATTTTAGCCATTTTTATTTACCAAAAATAAACAGCTCAGATGGAAAACGAGAATGTTTCTGACATGAACAGCCTCTCAGAAGGCAGCTGTCTATGTAGAAAGCAGACAACAAAGCAGCACTAGAAGAGCCAGCATTTTATACGTGATTACGCTGGTTTCTTAGCGTCTCCACATGGCTGGATTCTGATAATTTGGTCTCATATGAGAGGCCCATTAT